ACAGGAGTCAGGAGGGGTAGAGGTAGACCTAGATTGGATTACTGTTCGCAAATAGTTAAAGATGTGGGTTGTTCTAGTTTTAAGGAAATGCGAAGATTAGCTCAGGATAGGAAAGAGTGGGGGTGCGTGTCCAACCACTCTTAGGACTGACTATGATGATGAATTCAGTACTTAAACACAACTACCAGATGGCAATTAAGTAGAGATATACACCACAGACATATAAACGTCGATGGTCAAACAATGTGCAAAACAGCAGTTTGATCTCTAAAAAAAATTATAGATGGCACTGAAACTGGTCAACAATTTTAAAAAATTGAGTGTCTATATTGTCTATACTGTCTCTATTCTTTTAATCATCGACGTTTAATACATGTCTACGCTTTTAATAATATTGTCTACAATCAAAATCGAATAACTTTTGTGGAGCGTCAACTATCAACTTACTATTGGCAATGACCATAAAGATAATAAGTCTAGAAGTCGTCATGTAGTCTATGGTAACCGTGTGAATCTGGCACCCGATACAAATAATCCTCTGATTTAAACTTTACTAATAAATTGTGCGTCGTTTGCGGGTTCTAGATATGTAAGTGTCATGATTGTGCATCCATTAATTCTGTAAAAAAAAGGAGAATTGTTTCGGTTGGTTGTGGAAATTAAATTGATTGTGTGCGTGTCTTGCGTGCTTGAAGGTTAAACTATTATGGTCAGCCAATTTGTTTTTATATTATTTATTAGGAATGATTACAAATAATTCTAAATTTTTCAATGGTATTAGTATGATCATATTTTTATCTATGATTCAAAGTAAAATTAGGTATTATATGTAATTATTACAACTAAATAATTTAAAGATAAATCCCGCTTTAGATCAGTCTTCAAACACAAATGACACGCAATTAATTGGCGTCAATTAAATTATCATATCTTCAGTAGTTTTTGAATAAATTGAAATTTAATTTCAACCTGCACCCGAAACAATTCCTTTTTTGTAGCAGAAGTAATGGATGCACAATTATAATATTTACATATTTAGAATCCGCAAATGGCGCACAATTTACTGGTAAAGTTCGAATCAGTGAATTATTTATATAGGGTGCCAAATTCACACGACTATCTATGCTCACGACAAATGGACATACATAACCCACTATATCTTTTATCTATGGCAAATGAAGAACCAGGAGCGATTGAACTTCTTATTTGTCATAGATAAGAGATATATAATACTTACACCATAATCTCTTATCTATGTTATTTAAAATATAACTTCATGACGCAGGATCTTGACTATCTATGATCTTGACCTTATCCATCCGTGTCTATGCTCGGTTGCTTGAAACCCGACAAACGAAAATTTCTAGAGAATAAATGTAAATTTGAGCTATTAATATAAATAAAATTATTTCAAATTTAACCAGATTCTTTAACGTTGTTTAAATATTTTTTTCATAATTAAATTGTATAAAAAAATGTAATTGCTTGACACTAAGGCCCTTTGCATACAGTTGATATTTTACATATAATTTCAGACTTTTAAAATTTAAATGAAGTTAGAAAAGTTGTACCTATAAGAAAGATAACACTTCACAACGAAATGATCTTCACGAAGTTTTAAACTATTTTCGTGACTAGGAGGTACTAATCGTTAAAAAAAAACTGAAAAATATGAAATAGGGATGTATCTGCCTATAGATAGTTGTATAAAAAATTATGTTCAAAAAGGTACCTATTCCGAAAATGAGACGAATAATTTCGAGTGCACGTGTTATCTGGTTACTATTTATTGATAATATGTGAAATATTCTTTAAAACTTGAAGTACTATAACTGAAACAATCAGATAACGTATTTTAAACTATTGTTTATATAATTACTATCTATGTATCAGTGTTAAATTTGATTGTACCAAAAGATGTTTTATTATAGGCGTCGATGGACCTGCCTCCTGATAAAGCTAGACTACTTAAGAATTACGATTTTGAAAAAAAGTGGGATATTATATGTGATCAGGTACGTTTTATTTTATTGAGATGCATACTAAATACTGAGGCATTTTTTTGCGTTACCTACTTCAAACTTAAAACAAAGGTTGAGTAATTAGAATGTATCCGAATGTAGTTTTGAGAGTGTGGTTATTGTAGGAAATTGTTTAGAGAAGTAGGTGATATTTTCAAATAAATGTGGTTGAAAAAATATACCCCACATTTCACCAAATCACTTTTGCTTTTTCGCTGGTGCGACATGAAAACGAGAAATGTGTAATTTGCATGTTCAGTGAACATTTTATTTTACCAGTATGTTCTTTATTCTCCTTTGTAAATCTATAAGTATAAAACGAATGATTTTTTTTATTATGTTTCTCTGACGCATATGAAATAAAAAAAAAATTGTAAACCATTCTATTGTATGTGTATGTAGATCGTCGATATGCAACCCAGCATACGTCCCGTATGTTCGCGTTGCATACATTAATGTCGTTGATTTCGATTTTATAAGTTCTTCGAATTAGACTCAAATTCACTATAAAATTCTGAAAAAAACGATTTAAAAGCCTCAAATCCCCGATCTTATTTAATAATTAATTGAAATGTTAATTTTAAAATTATTTTTTGGCGATTTTAAAAATTATTCTCGTTAAATACTATTTTAAGGAAATGGTTCATGCCAAAGATCCTCCTTCCTACTACTTAAATAAACTACGGACATATCTAGATCCAAAAGCTTCAAGGAGCCACAGGGTAAGTTGTTTCAGGTTTTCTAATAGCTGCACATTGAAACAATTTAGAAGTATAATAACGTTCTTTTAGAAACGAAAAATGGTTGGAGATTCAACTTCTACTCAAGTTTTAAGAGATTTGGAAATATCACTCAGAACCAATCATATCGAGTATGTACCTGTAGATACAGTTAATTGTAATTGTTGTATTTGGTAAGTTATTACAATAGTTTTTTTCCAGATGGGTGCGAGAGTTCCTTAGCGAAGAGAATAACGGTTTGGATGTTCTCATTGACTATTTGAGCTTTCGTTTAGGTATGATGCGCCATGAACAAAGGATAACAGAATCTCAAACCACATCGCAAGAAAGATTAAACTCTGGTGGCACATTCCAGCAACACAATACAAGCGGGGGAGGTAGTAGCACGGGTGTTGGTGTAGGGGATAGTGGAGGTACTAATAGCCGACAAAATGGATACGCCAGGCCCGCTTTAGATGTGTCTGACAGTCCCAGTATAAAAAGAAGATCGAAGCACGTGGCAAAACTAAATATGGGGGAGGCAAAAGATGATATTCATGTTTGTATAATGTGTATGAGAGCAATAATGAACAACAAGGTATTCATTTCTTAATGATAATTAAATTGAGGGTGTCGGTATTTATTTAGCTTTAATACAACTAGTACGGTAGTTGCTAAGATCAACTTTGTTTATTCATTTTTTAGTAATGCAATCAAGTTCGGTCTGATTGAGAGGTAATTGTGTGTTAGATTTGTAGTTTTTCCTTTGTATATTTGACTCTTCAGTATAATATTTATTTAATCTTGTGTATGTGTAAGAATATGCATACGACTGGTAAATTTTTTAACACTTAGAATTGATATTTCCAAATACGTTTTTGTAAAATAACAAAATGTTTATTGCATAGGTATAGACGAGCTTGCAAGCAGTACTTTGCTTTTTAGCGGAATTTTTTCTAAATTTAATATATTTAGAAACTGAACGGTTACGTTACGTACGTCGCGTCTCAGTGAATGTTGTGAAGTTGATTTTTTAAACACAGTATCTGTAATAATAGCTAAAATGACTAGCTCGTCGTAAGAAGTGATAGGTTGTACAGTTCTGAAGCTCGACAACGGGTAAAAGGGGTGGCATGGTTAGCTGTCGCTAATTTTTCAAAAAAATAATTTTTACGATTGTAAAAAGACCTCTCTTAAATCATTAGTTCGTGTCTTGTCATTTATAGGTACGTTATGTTAGTTTGAATAGATAGATACCAAGAATATCGTAGCCGGACGTCTAGGTCGTTGCATATGTTTTTTAAGCAATTGAAATTTTTTATAATGTTACAATTTTAGTTACAACAAAAAAAATAGCGATCAATTAAAATTTGAAAATAACTCCATGAATTTTAATTTTAATGTAATGATGTTGTTGATCTAATAATAACTTGTATTTATTCGTTTTATAATAGTATGGTTTTAATATGGTAATTCAACACAGAGAGGCAATAAACTGCATTTCCTTAAGTTTGATACACAAGAGCCTTCGAACCAAAGCACTGGTTTTAGAATTATTAGCAGCCATTTGCTTGGTGAAGGGTGGTCACGAAATAATCCTCTCAGCTTTTGATAACTTTAAGGAAATATGTCAAGAAGCACGCAGATTTCAAACGTTAATGGATTTTTTTATGAATTTTGATATGTTCCACATAGAATTTATGGTAAGTTTCAGTTTTGTATAGTAAGCAGCTGCAGCTTTTAGCGTTTAGGTTTGAGTAACACGACCAGTGTCTAATTGTTCGGTTTACAGGTAGCTTGCATGCAGTTTATAAACATCGTGGTCCATTCAGTCGAGCACATGAATTTTCGTGTACATCTTCAGTACGAATTTACGGCTTTAGGTCTGGATAAATATTTGGAGAGGTTACGATTCACTGAAAGTGAAGAACTCCAAATACAAATTTCGGCGTACCTTGATAACGTTTTTGACGTGGCAACTTTGCTGGAAGATAGCGAAACAAAAACTGCCGCATTAGAAAAAATGGCGGAAATGGAGTACGAGTTAATACGGGTACAAGATACAGCACGAAATGAAAATTTCGAATATGCGCAAAAGTGTTTAGAAATGGAGACCAAAGTTGCGAAACTAGAACAAGAAAACGAGGATCTTCGTGAAAATATGAAAATTTGGCGAGAAAAGTCGGAAAGAATAGATTCTAAATTGATTGAATTTGAAAAAATAACAAATAATGTATCTAAAGATATTATTAGTAAGTTACATTATTATTCATTAGAGAATTTACATTTATTATTTTTTATTTCGATAAGTTTCTGAACAGGGACAAAATCAACCTACGATTACATTGTTGTCATCATCCTCTGCCGATTCCTCCTCGGTGGACAATTCGTTGCAGACCTGCAATAATAAATTTCCAAGTGTTTCAGAGCTTACATCGGCACCTATCCCTCCTCCACCGCCTTGCCCGCCTCCTGCTCCAGTTAAACTATTATCAGCTCCCCTTCCACCACCTTTAGCCGGACTTATGCAAGCTCCTGACGGTGCTATGACAATTAAAAGAAAGGTGCAAACAAAGTATAAGCTACCTACTGTAAACTGGATAGCTCTGAAGCCAAACCAAGTAAGGGGAACAATCTTCAACGAACTCGATGACGACAGACTATTTAATTACATCGATTTTGATGATTTCGAAGAAAAGTTTAAGATAGGCCAATCGACAGCAATGGAAGTAAATTGTAACGAAATTGACGGACTCACTACATATCCCAGTAAAAGATTTAAGAAGCCTGAAAAGGAATCATTATTAGAGCATACGCGGTTAAGGAATATCGGTAAATTGATAAGAGTAGTCATAGAAAGTTAAAAAATCAAACGAATAACTTTTCCAGCGATATCAAGAAGAAAATTAAATATGCCAATTGACAAAGTAATAAATTCCATAAGCACGTTGGACCTAAAGCAGTTGTCATTGGATAACGTAGAGTTATTACAGAAGATGATACCTTCTGAACAAGAGTGTAAAGCATATAGAGATTATGTAATGGAAGGAAAGAGTATTAACAATTTGTCGGAAGAAGACAAGTTTCTTATGCAGTTGACCAAAGTGGAAAGAATTTCTATTAAACTGTCCATTATGAATTATATTGGTAACTTTTACGACAATCTTCATTTAATTATGCCGGTATAATAATTTTTTATATTGCATAACAACATGCATGTTAATTACATTCGATTTTAGCAAGTGAGCGCTGTAATTTCTGCCTGCAATTCAGTCAAAAACTCGAGAAAACTAAAGGGCGTGCTCGAAGTAGTATTAGCTTTCGGAAATTATTTAAACAGCAGCAAGAGGGGCCCAACTTACGGTTTCAAACTACAGAGTTTGGATACATTGCAGGATACTAAATCATCTGATAAAAGAATGTCCCTTCTTCATTACATTGTAGCCGCAATACGTGACAAATTTCCTGAACTTCTTAACTTCGATTCCGAGTTGTTATGTATTGAAAAAGCAGCCACAGGTTAAAAGAAGCATTAACGTCATTGACAGTTAGGTATCTAATGAATATTCTATTTTTCAGTTTCTTTGGAAAATATCACAACCGATGTACAAGAACTGGAAAAGGGTATGGATATGGTAAGAAAGGAAGCCGATGGTCGCGGTAGAACCACACAGAATTTAGTGATTCGGGATTTTCTTTCCAATTCTGAAGAGAAGTTGAGAAAACTAAAGAACGATGCCAAGACTGCCAACGATATTTTTAAAGAAATGGCAGAATATTTCGCCGAGTCGCCGAGAGCGACCGATGCTAATACTTTCTTTTCACTTCTCGTCAGATTTACCAAAGCCTTCAAGGCACGTATATATATGTTTCTGTTTTACATTTGTTTGTCCTTTTTAACCAGTTGTTATCTACTTTTTTGTATTTATTATTGTGTGTTTGCATTTTTTTTTTTAATAATTTATTTTAGAATGCCGATTTTGATAACGAAAACAGGCGGAGATTAGAACAGACTACTAACAACAGTGAGAGCGTTCAAAAACTGAACAAATATAACGAAAAAAAACAGCACGTGAGTTTATCAAATAGTCTAACAATAATTAATCCAAAGATTAAACGTATATTAATTGAGCTGGCATCAAGAGATGTTATTGTGTCTATAAATAATTTATTCCTTAAAATTGTTACCTTTTGTTTTCTCACTAGTCCTCGTGTTAAAAAAAGTAGTCATTGTATTAATGTGTGGAAATAATGAAGAAATTTTGGTATAGATATTTGAATATACGCTATGGGATTAATTTATTTTGTTTTTTGCGTTTACTTATTTTTTTCGATATTTCTTTTTTGTTTTTTGCATTAGTTATTTTTATTAACGTTTATGGAGCAGTACTCATGTTTCTTGTTGGTAGCTTTTCTTATGTTTATCGCTTCGCTTTGTGTATTAGAACACTTGCACATAAAAAAAAATGTTATAAACAGTTCGCATATAATTTAAATGTATTTAATTGCGAAATTTGTAGGATTATTTTTCTCAGACCATTCGATGTCATTTTATAATAATAATAGTAACAAAGATTTTTTGTTATAAAATCATGAATTCGATTTATAGATCCTGTGTTCGATTAAATTAAAAGATGTTTTCTTAACAGGAGGCCGTCATAAACGAACTTAAGCATAGAACTAAAATGGTTCATGAAAAGAAGTTATTACAGCAAGATGAAGTATATAATGGTGCTTTAGAAGACATACTTTTAGGTTTAAAGAGCGAGCCGTATCGTAGGGCGGATGCAGTTCGAAGAAGTCAGAGAAGACGTATCGATAATAACAGATTATCAAAAACAATGGAGGAGATGGAGTTTTAATTTTTGATTACAGAATGAGCTAATGATTTAGTTAAATTTTTATTTATTCAGTTCATAAAAAGGTTAATTAGATTACTGTCATTTGTTTTTAAGTACTACAAACGCTCACTATGAAATTGATTTTTTCGTTCCTAAAATATCGAAGTGCTCTTAATGGTTTTTAAAGAAATGTAGGTTTTTTTGTTTTCATTTTCGAATCTGTGAAAATATTTTGCCATGACGTTATTGAAATCTGCATTGGTACATACATATACAGAAATGTAAATGACATAACTATTTTTATACGTATTTGTTATATTTATTACATTTTACTTTTCGTAGGTGTATTATAATTAGGACAGCTGTGATAAAGACTGTAACCACGACATGAAGACACCATAAGTTTTCCTAGCTTTAAGTATTTAATGATATTCAACAGAATCCGTTAAAATTATATTATTTGACCAGTGAAAATATAAAAACAATAAGTAAATTCGCTGATAAAGAATCATCCATCTAAATGATATTTATTGAATTAGTAGTTGATACATTTCCATGTATTTATTTTATTGTTTTTGTTGTGGATCTTNATTTTGCAAAATACTTTTTTTTATTAGGTACTTCCTTATTTTGTTTTTTTAGGTTTAAAAACTTCCACGCGCGCCCCTTTTTAACCTTGCGCTCCTAGGCATATGCCTACTTTGTCTTATGTATAATCCGCCACTGGGTACATACATTTTTGAGTATTATCATCATTTATTTCAATATATTCATATTAAAAAATAGACTAATACATAATTTGGCTGCGCGCGGTAGTAGGTAGGTACTACCTACGACGAGAACACGGCGCACGTCGGCGGCGTGTCGTATGTTAATCATAGATCATATGTACAGTATATATAAATACATTTAAATATATATGTACGTATGTGTGTATATGTATGTTTAACTACAAAAAAATACAAGCTCTGTTGTATGTAGAACGTGCTCCGAAGGCCACGTTTTGGTCGTGTTTTCCGAGGCCGTGAGAATTCGATGGTCGCTCCAGTCTCAGGCGCGCGACCGGACACACACCACTACAGTATTGTATGTATCTATATATTTACATCTACATACAATATGTATGTATACCGTACCTATGTATGTATTCACACCTATACCACTTTCCGTTGCGCCGCTTATTATAACACAATCTCCCGTCTAATAATATATTAGGCACACACAGGGTGTTAAACATAAATCAACTGAATTGGTGTATTTTATCGTGCAATCCTTTATCGATATCTAAGTGGGCAGCTACCTACATAGTTTTATATAACGCAATCTCGATTTCATGGACCGACCGGGTACCAATTCTCAAGTCAAATAATCATTGGCGTGCTCGTTGCACACAATAATAAGAAAAAATAACAAGTCAGTTGTTGCATGTCCATACCCTGCAAGCCGTTTTGTCCAAAATTAAATATTAGATGGACCACACACCAAGAACAAAATCGACCTCTTGTATTTGCCTCTCGTTTGAACAGGTAATAATAACATTTGTGGTTTTGTAAATGGAAGGATTTTTCTGTAGACCAGTGAATACGTTTTTTTTTAATTTTTATGATCTCGAAAATGGACTTTAGTTAGATATCTATCTAACTATTGTCACGTAGGTAGACAATGCTTAAAATTTTTTGTTTTTTAATTTTAACGCTAAAACTATAATACGTAAGTCTTCGTATAATATATAATAATAATTAGGTACCTCACATTAAAAGTATCTATCGCGTATCGTATATTTAACGACTTTTCCCTTAATAGAAATTACCGTCATAACAACAATAAAATATTAATTAATTATACCAAATTTAGTTTAGGTTGTGTATAATTACTGTTTATTTACTTACCGAAAAGTCTAGTTGACGGTATCAATGTTACTTCACTGAGTATTAATGAACAACGTCTGTTTTATCTTGTATGACAATTGTACAACAAGAACACACTTGTAATGACATTTCTCACATCAACAATTAAACCACTTATAAAACCATTTTTAATTGTAACTAGGTAAGTAGACACATTGAATTCATGCTGTTTTTCATAAGACATATACGTACTGATACAAGTAACAACTGATTTTAAATAGTGTCATCTATGGAAAGAAAAGTGAAACATTTAAATTAGATACATCGATTCTATTGTAGAAGAGAATTCGATGAATTACTCCAACTTTTGGGTATATTCATTTCCATTATGAATGTACAAATTTTAATGTTCAATTAAAATAAATGCGTGGCGAATCGATCAGGAATACCAAGTACCTATGTACCTTCGAAAAAATTGGATTACAATAATCCAATAATGAATAATTGAAAATTGCATTTTTAAAGTAATAAAACTACATTTATAGATATTATACATATGTAGGTACCATTTATGTACTTAATTTATCGTTCATATAAATGTATTCACATAATGATTCACTCTCTAATTTCTTTATTAAACAAACGTGTATCTACTATTTTATCACAAGTCAGACAAAAAAATATTAATAATAAAAATCAGTCGTATCACAACCACGTTTAATACTAATACAAGATGTAATATGTATGTACAGTAAGGCACTATAAGTCGATAGGTACGCACGAATTGCACCCACCGTTAAAGAGAAAACATTTGAACATGAATTGCACCGAAAACACAACAGTTTTTTTTTACCATTACAAACTACTACCACGGTCTCCAAGGTTTCTCATCCTCCGGTTGATCCGATTGTCTCATTACAAGAGGTCTCGGAGGCCACCTTTCTTCCTCTCGCTTCTGTTCGATTTTTCGTATAACCAACGACAACGGTTTTTGAATTGTAGAAGAACCATAATACAAAGAGTCCATAGGTTCTGGACTGGCAGACGAAGTGGAAGACGGCGAGGCCACAGACGATGTTCTATTGTTGGGAATGGGAACCAGAAGCGGTAAGGAGGAAGCGGTAGTGCTATTGTTATTGTTACTTCCCGTAGAACCTGTTGTCGTCGAAGTTGACGGAAGTACCAAGGCAATATCACCATTCGGTAGACGGGTAGGTACCAGTTGCACGCCCGTTCCACTTCCATTACTCAGTATCAGTCCACCAGTGGAATGCTGTTGAGGTTGTAATTCGGACGATTGTGACGGTATAATGTGAACTTGGACGTGGGGTTGCTCCGGTTTACCCTGATTCAAACATGCGGCCAAGTGCTGAAGTAGACGTCGTTTTACTACCGGATCTAAACCAGGAAAACGACCGACTTCGTTTGCACACTCACCGAAGCCGGCTCTGAATTTGTTTATTACAGACGGATCTGTGGCCGCAGAAATAGCTACCTGTTGTCGTTGGAGGTTCTGCAGATGTTTTACGGTCATCTCTAAAATATCCGCTTTTTCCAACTTCGAGTGTCTAGCTGGCTGAAATAAATATCGTTTACGTTACGATTATTATAGTTGAAAAGGTATTATCGTGTGATTAAAGCTCCGCCTTTGCATTCGGAAATTGTACCGTTTCTTTTTTACTTTTTTACCTACCGATTAGGTACACAAAAAATAAACAAACACAATCATATGACACAAACAGATAACGATATAGGTACGTATCACATGCCTTCTTTTCAGTGCCAGTTGCTGCGATAAACTTTTTATTGTTACGTCTACCTATTTGTTTAACGCAAAATGATTCAATTTTCTAATAAATATATGGGCATGAAAATACTTAGGTAGGTACTTGAAAACAATATTCCAATTAATATACCTAGATACCCACCTACTTACCGATCCGCATGCCTACCACCCAAGAATAATAAACAACACTTACATCTTTTTTCATTGCATCCAAAATGAGCGTTTTTAATTCATTAAGGCAATTGTTAATGCGAGCTCGTCTTCGTTTTTCCATGATTGGCTTGTTACTCTACGAAAATAAAATACCGCCTTTTAATAAAATTAATGCATATCGGTACAAAAGAATTTAACTTTTTTAAATTTATTAGTTTCTTAGAAATAAGTTCGTAAACCGGTACTCACCCTTCTACTGTCACTAACCCGTTTTGTGGGTCCACTGGAGTCAACCGTGGGATTGTTTGGCATTGGTGCACTTCCCATATTAATATTTTCGTTTCCAGTAACCATGAGGAGAACGGAAAACACTGAGTTGTTCTTTTCAAATACAATAGTCACACAATAGTAACGATGTAGACGAGTAAAAATACTCGCGTCAATTAATATTAACGACTACGAGGTTGAAAGTTTACACGCTCTCAGTTAACCGTAACTGCACGCGAGGATGGTGCTCGATCAACAGCGCCTACATCCAAATTATTCTATTTTGGTGGCGGAATATAGTCGTACGCCGCAGTATACAACAGTAAGAATAATGGTGGGGGTAATGGCAGCATGCCTTTCAGTGACGCGCGTGAGACAAGGTTGGTCACGATCTTCCCATGTTTTGTTGATCGGTTGTTTTCGGGAAGACGGACCTGCAGCAGGTCACGTGAGAAAAGTCGCCTCAGAAAGGTGCATTGTGCATTCTGCATGTAAGTTATGTGTCGTCATGTCCTGCGCTATATAGGATTCCCACATTGTTACCATCATCAATAACAGTGAGGAAGCAATAATTGCATACTTTATTATGCTTGTCTATTTGGAATACTAACGAGAGGCACGTAAAAAAAGGCAAATGTGAACTTAAAATTGGAAAAATCGTCTGTTCCGACGTTTGTCTTTTACGCACGTGCCTAAGCGCGCCGCGCTCGCGAACTGTGGGAAAGCCCCGCTCACAGCCACAGGTGCATGGTAACGCGTTTGTGGCAACGACGGCGCACCCTCGTTGATACTAGAAACTGGTGACCATATTATACCAGCATTAGTATTATAATACCACGGTCCGCGGAGCCTCGCGTGGAATGTTAATACATTAGGTATAGGTCACTAATTTTATTTTAATAAAAAACATTTCAGTCGCATAATGTTTCAAACAATTGCCGCCTTTCATTTTGTCGTTTACTAGTTGCAGCAGATTGGTCGGGATTGCAATCAAGTCAAATGGATCCATTAGAACTATAGGCATTATACATATACGCTGTAACTAATAAAAGGTTTAGCGATGAGTACAGGCAGATAGACGAAATTTTTCTTAAAGGTCATTTGTGTCTAAAATAGAATACAAATAACCTGTGAACCTTTTGTTTTTTACCTATTTTTCACCCCCGCTGCTCTGCCTCCACTTTCGAAATTTCTTGTTTTATAACGTAACTAGATATTAATCATACATCTACTACATAACGCTGGATGTTATTAATTATTAATTCTAGCATTGTTGTCTCGCAACTAGCAAAACGCACCGGGCAGTTTTACCGCCCCGCGTAATTTTTTTTCATTCCGTATCTGACCCTCGGCTATCCACGTGCCTCCTCACGTCACGCTCGCGACTGTGGGAAAGCTCCGCCCACGGTCGTCTTGCTCTCTTGATCGATGCCGCCACGTAAAAGAACAACATCGCGGTCTGCCGACCGACCGCAGATCGCAGGCGGCTGGTCAACTTGTGCAGTACACATTACACATTACAGAACCGACCGATCAAGGAAAACGGGATCGAAGAATACGAATACAAAAAAAAAAAAAAGATGACGTCGCGGTGTAATAGTCATGAGATCATAGCTTTATACATACGTATACTAAAACATTAAAGGGTTGCACAGTCACATAAGACAATTAAAAATAGTTGAAGTATCTCCTCCATGTAATATAACAAATAAGTACTTATGTGTACACTGAGTAAATTAACATATATACGTACTAATTGTGATTGTTAAACTTGCGTAGACACGAATAAATGTCAAGTTTAAAATGCAAAAGTTTGAGATGAGGGTGACAATTACATACTAAATAAAGTCTTAACAAATATCCGTGTAACTGTACGTACAAGAATTTCTAACTTGATAGTAATACAAATTAAAGATAGTAAGTAAATGAAAAGTAAATAAATTTTTTTTTTAATGTATTTTCAATTATTTCAATTCAGTTTTAGTTTTACCAGCTTCAGCAAGTGAGAAATTAAATTATAGAAATTAATTTGTCAAAATAAAGGTCGCAGAGTCATCTACAGTTCTTAGACTAAAGTACTTTCAAAAATATAAGGAGGCAACAAAGAATACATGCAAGCACTTTTTGTTGTTAACTTCAAACGAAAAAATCATGGGTTCATCTACTATTTAATTCGAAAAGGTAAATCAGGTAAACGTTTCGTTAACTCACTCGCGTAAAATATTGTTATTTCAGCCTATTTTAAAGAAAAAGCAAATCATTATCTGCATTGTGCTGACATCTAACAACCTAACTAAAAATTTCACATCAGTTTAATAATAACCTTAGAATTAGAGTTGTCTATGATTTAGAGAATACAGACGGTTAATTATGATCTATGGTTATGGTTTACCCTTTGTAGATCTATTATCTATGAGTTTAGTCATGGTTTAGTCACAGCAATTGCAATAGTTTTGTTGTTTTTGTTCGCATTAGGTAGTTTTAAGTTTTGGTTCGTCACTCGTTGTTTCATTTGTTTAGTTTGTCTCAGTTTTTCTAAGTTTTTCAGTTTGTTTGAAGCAGTTGAATAATTGGGCGGTTTCTTGATTTGTGGAGTAATGTAACCTGTTGCATTTATTACTGTATAAATTGAGTAAATAACAATGTTGGCCAAGTCATTTTTAAAAAAAGATGTTAGAATTATGAGGGGTGCGTCTCGGCAATAATTATGGGACTGTACAGTTCAAAACAAGAAAACCCTGAACATCAACAGACCTTTCCAGAGAGTCATGACAACATTACTCCATCAAAACATCATGGAAGACAAGCAAGCATCAGAGCAAAGTCAAAACAACCAATGCCTGATCCTAATGAATTGGAAAGAAGATTTACAAAAGTTTTGGTAAGTTAAAAATTTTGAATTAATGAAGAATAAGTTTAAATAATAAAAAATTGACATTTCTGTCTGGCTTTATAACCTATTATTAGGTTTTTACATAGAAGCAGATTGTTGGTTTCATATACTACATTAAAAATGCGAAATAGTTCTTGGTAGTATTTTAATTATATATATATACAGCTCTGTTATACTCTAGAAAATTTATTTATTTATGAATGTGACTGTCAATTCGAAACAATGAATATTCAAGCTTGATTCCAATTCAGTATGTGTTATTATTTAGACATCATTTGAAATTAGTAAACATGAATCATTTTAAAGATCTAGAAAGTAGTACTTAATTCATAAATAACGATTATCTTTTTGCATAAAAGTGAGAATTCGAAGGTATTCTATATTTAAGCAAACATTAGATACTATATAGTACAGTACAGATACACAGGAGTGTACACTAGAAGCTTAGTTAATCCTAAACATAAAGATTAGGTACCAAAAACAAAATTGTAAACTTATAAACAAAAAAAACAATTAATTGTTCAGTTATTTTTTTTTTTGTTTTATTAACAAAGACTATAGTTATTTAATTTAATGTAATATCTACTTTCTAGTGTTTTTTATTTATTTTTAAATGACCCAAGGCCCTTTGCATACAGTTGATATTTTACATATAATTTCAGACTTTTAAAATTTAAATGAAGTTAGAANAACAACAGTGAGAGCGTTCAAAAACTGAACAAATATAACGAAAAAAAACAGCACGTGAGTTTATCAAATAGTCTAACAATAATTAATCCAAAGATTAAACGTATATTAATTGAGCTGGCATCAAGAGATGTTATTGTGTCTATAAATAATTTATTCCTTAAAATTGTTACCTTTTGTTTTCTCACTAGTCCTCGTGTTAAAAAAAGTAGTCATTGTATTAATGTGTGGAAATAATGAAGAAATTTTGGTATAGATATTTGAATATACGCTATGGGATTAATTTATTTTGTTTTTTGCGTTTACTTATTTTTTTCGATATTTCTTTTTTGTTTTTTGCATTAGTTATTTTTATTAACGTTTATGGAGCAGTACTCATGTTTCTTGTTGGTAGCTTTTCTTATGTTTATCGCTTCGCTTTGTGTATTAGAACACTTGCACATAAAAAAAAATGTTATAAACAGTTCGCATATAATTTAAATGTATTTAATTGCGAAATTTGTAGGATTATTTTTCTCAGACCATTCGATGTCATTTTATAATAATAATAGTAACAAAGATTTTTTGTTATAAAATCATGAATTCGATTTATAGATCCTGTGTTCGATTAAATTAAAAGATGTTTTCTTAACAGGAGGCCGTCATAAACGAACTTAAGCATAGAACTAAAATGGTTCATGAAAAGAAGTTATTACAGCAAGATGAAGTATATAATGGTGCTTTAGAAGACATACTTTTAGGTTTAAAGAGCGAGCCGTATCGTAGGGCGGATGCAGTTCGAAGAAGTCAGAGAAGACGTATCGATAATAACAGATTATCAAAAACAATGGAGGAGATGGAGTTTTAATTTTTGATTACAGAATGAGCTAATGATTTAGTTAAATTTTTATTTATTCAGTTCATAAAAAGGTTAATTAGATTACTGTCATTTGTTTTTAAGTACTACAAACGCTCACTATGAAATTGATTTTTTCGTTCCTAAAATATCGAAGTGCTCTTAATGGTTTTTAAAGAAATGTAGGTTTTTTTGTTTTCATTTTCGAATCTGTGAAAATATTTTGCCATGACGTTATTGAAATCTGCATTGGTACATACATATACAGAAATGTAAATGACATAACTATTTTTATACGTATTTGTTATATTTATTACATTTTACTTTTCGTAGGTGTATTATAATTAGGACAGCTGTGATAAAGACTGTAACCACGACATGAAGACACCATAAGTTTTCCTAGCTTTAAGTATTTAATGATATTCAACAGAATCCGTTAAAATTATATTATTTGACCAGTGAAAATATAAAAACAATAAGTAAATTCGCTGATAAAGAATCATCCATCTAAATGATATTTATTGAATTAGTAGTTGATACATTTCCATGTATTTATTTTTTAAATTTTGTATTGCAGAAAGCAATTTGTGACTTTACTGGAAGATTGCAGGAAAACACATTATTTTGGAAGATTGATTGCTCCGTGTCATTGCTTGCAGTGCTTTGTTTAAAATGCAATGCTAATAAACATTTTAAAGGAGAAAAGCGTGTACTTTCCTACTATTGCTGCCATGTTCAAATATTATACCGTTATTGTTAATTTTTCTATCTGTAAAAAGTAATAACGTATATTTACATTTTATTTTTGTTATATAAAAGATTTTAGAAAACAGTAATAATAATTTACATTTATATAGGAATGTTTTTAAATTTATCACAATTATTTAGGATATTTATGCTACTGAATATGAATGTATTATTAATTTCAGTTTATAAGTAACGCAAAAAATGCTGAACATTGACTGTTGTTTTCGTACAACAACTACAAGTAGGGAAATTAGAAAATTTGAAAGCTGAGATGAATAGACTAGATTTAAATATAGTAGGCATTATTGAAGTCCAGCTGGAATCTTCTGGAGTGTAGACTTTAGAATAATACATACAAATAAAATGAAGGCGGTATTGACAAAGCAGTATTGCATACAATTAAATAGAAAGCATAGAACAAAGGACTGTATGGAAGTCAATAAGATATAGGCGAGATAGAATAGTAGGACACCTTCTCAGGCATAAAGGTCTAGTCAGATATTAAATTACTGTTCGCAAATAGTTCAGAATGTGGGTTGTTCTAGTTTTAAGGAAATGCGAAGATTAGCTCAGGATAGGAAAGAGTGGGGGTGCGTGTCCAACCACTCTTAGGACTGACTATGATGATGAATTCAGTACTTAAACACAACTACCAGATGGCAATTAAGTAGAGATATACACCACAGACATATAAACGTCGATGGTCAAACAATGTGCAAAACAGCAGTTTGATCTCTAAAAAAAATTATAGATGGCACTGAAACTGGTCAACAATTTTAAAAAATTGAGTGTCTATATTGTCTATACTGTCTCTATTCTTTTAATCATCGACGTTTAATACATGTCTACGCTTTTAATAATATTGTCTACAATCAAAATCGAATAACTTTTGTGGAGCGTCAACTATCAACTTACTATTGGCAATGACCATAAAGATAATAAGTCTAGAAGTCGTCATGTAGTCTATGGTAACCGTGTGAATCTGGCACCCGATACAAATAATCCTCTGATTTAAACTTTACTAATAAATTGTGCGTCGTTTGCGGGTTCTAGATATGTAAGTGTCATGATTGTGCATCCATTAATTCTGTAAAAAAAAGGAGAATTGTTTCGGTTGGTTGTGGAAATTAAATTGATTGTGTGCGTGTCTTGCGTGCTTGAAGGTTAAACTATTATGGTCAGCCAATTTGTTTTTATATTATTTATTAGGAATGATTACAAATAATTCTAAATTTTTCAATGGTATTACTATGATCATATTTTTATCTATGATTCAAAGTAAAATTAGGTATTATATGTAATTATTACAACTAAATAATTTAAAGATAAATCCCGCTTTAGATCAGTCTTCAAACACAAATGACACGCAATTAATTGGCGTCAATTAAATTATCATATCTTCAGTAGTTTTTGAATAAATTGAAATTTAATTTCAACCTGCACCCGAAACAATTCCTTTTTTGTAGCAGAAGTAATGGATGCACAATTATAATATTTACATATTTAGAATCCGCAAATGGCGCACAATTTACTGGTAAAGTTCGAATCAGTGAATTATTTATATAGGGTGCCAAATTCACACGACTATCTATGCTCACGACAAATGGACATACATAACCCACTATATCTTTTATCTATGGCAAATGAAGAACCAGGAGCGATTGAACTTCTTATTTGTCATAGATAAGAGATATATAATACTTACACCATAATCTCTTATCTATGTTATTTAAAATATAACTTCATGACGCAGGATCTTGACTATCTATGATCTTGACCTTATCCATCCGTGTCTATGCTCGGTTGCTTGAAACCCGACAAACGAAAATTTCTAGAGAATAAATGTAAATTTGAGCTATTAATATAAATAAAATTATTTCAAATTTAACCAGATTCTTTAACGTTGTTTAAATATTTTTTTCATAATTAAATTGTATAAAAAAATGTAATTGCTTGACACTTGCTAACGTTGACGTCATAAATTGTTCAACAACCGAAAGACGACGAATGACGGATTGAAAACTGCAAATGGCGCAGAGAGTCTTCGCCAGTTGGAAACGTATTTCGGAATTAATCTGGCTATTTTGAATGATTTTATGCTTAATTATAGCTAAAACCACCCAAAACATAAGTCTAAATTAATTTTAAATATTAACAAAACAGCCACTATAAGACGCAGTACGGAAAATCTAAAATAGAAAACTGAAAGCAAACAAAGTTGCATGATGCAGAATGTTTATACCACTTATATTAATTGTGCCGTGATTTGTGTCTGTGCGGATGTTATATAGGATTGTTTTCATTTGAAAACAGATTTGGTAAGTCTTTAGTATTATAGGAATGAATTGCTTTATATTGCATATTAATTATTAAACTTGACTTCGACCATTTCGACCCACCCTACAAATGGCTGACAGCCGTATCGTCGTCAAGGTCACGTATGTCAGCTCCTACCGGATGGATATTGTCTTCTTATTTTCTTTCTTTAAGTAATCCTTAATAATGCTTTTTTTTCTACAAATTATTTAAATACACTTGGATTTCCTGTAATTTTTTTTTTCGTCCGTAAACATAACCTTCTATTAAAAATACTTAAAGTTGCTTTTATTAAAAGTTATGCTAATGTTTTAGTTATCAACGTGAAGCAGCACAAGTTACTATGTGCTGGATATACATTGTTTCTCTCTAAAAATGGAAAAGAGCCGACATGATAAAAGTAAAGAAAAGTCGAAAAGATTGTCTAAAAAAAGAAAAAACCGCAATAATAGCAGTGGCTCTGCAAGTCCCAGTTTAGTACAATCAAACACATTGAAGCCATTAGTTGAATATTCAGATGTAAGTTCTGAAGACTTATCTGCACCTGAAGCAGGAGAAATTCAGAGTGGTGAGAGTGTTAAAAGTTACAGTGATGATGGCGAGTTGAGTAACCATTCAGTACATAGAAACAGCTTTTATAGTAATCGGCATTCTCATAGCAGTCATCAACTGGAAGAAGAATATTATATTACTCGCCAGCAATTATATTCTCCTACTGGCAGGCATTCTCACTGCCTGGATCCTTCCATGGTGCAGCAAAATACAACATCACCTATGTTATCTCATCGAGAGAGAAAGATGTCAGCTTCTTCCATGTCTTCCAGGTCTAGCGACCTAAAGCATAGGAAAAAAATTGACATATCGCCTTTGGAGGATTATCGGCAGATAACATCACCTTATGTAGAGTATGACGGACTGGAAAGAAAAAAAAAGAAGCGAAAAGAGAAAAAGCATAAAAGAGAAAAAAAGAAAAAGAAAAGGAAAAGGAAACAGCATCGATCAAGAAGTTCTAGCTTAGAGAGCATTGGGTCAGTGTCACCTGTCGAAAGGGTAGTAAAAGAAATTGACCTCGAAAAAGAGCCTTTATCTGATTGGGAGCCTGTTCTTTCCGATAGTAAACAAGTGGGCGTTCTTGCTACTGATGCTTGTTCGCCTGTTTCCAATGATTCTCATATTGCTTCCCCTGATCCAGATGACAATATAAGATCACCAACTGCAGAGCCAGTAACACCCCCCTTAAGGAATTTCAAAGGGTGCATTGCGCCTCGCGAGTCGCCTCACACTCCCCCCTTGTTGCCTTCGAAGCAAAATTCCCATCATAAAATAAAACTGGTCCCAATGGAGATTATAGACGACCGAACTTTGTCCCCGGTAGAAATAGCGGAGAGATATCGTGAACGAGACAGACATTACACAAGGCATTATAGTCCCATTCCCATAAAAACATCCCCCTATAGAAATCCCAGTCCTGAATCGTTGATGAATCATTATCATAGTCATTCGTTGAGCCGGTCAAGTGTATCGCCGTCTAGAAAACGGAGGCGCCTCGAAAAAGAATCTAATCATCATCGACGACACGGCAAAGATCGATCAAAAGATAAGCGCAGACATTCGAGGAGTCGCAGTCCGAAGAGAAGGGGCTCAAGATCTCCTAGCTGGCATAAAAAACATTATAGTAGATCGCCAAGTAGAACTAAAGTTTCAAAAAAGTATCGGTCACGAAGTCCTAGAGCGACCAAAGATAAGGACAGATATTCGACATCTAAATCGCCCGTTGGACGGTAAGTTTAGTTTAAAAATGTAATTATTAATACAACGTGAACGGCTTTTTTTTATAGCAGAGAACGGCCGAGAAGTCCGACGCCTCATTCGATTAAATCGTCGCAGTTGAAGAACAAAATAACGGACACGAGTTTGTTCGCCGAATTGGTTAAAGACAGACAAAAGCGTGAAGCGGAATTGAAGCGTTTAGAACAAAATCTGCGAGAGAGAAAAAGCGATGACAGCAACAAGCAAGACGAGGCCATAGAAGAACTTTCAAAAGATGACGTGGATGCTTCAATTAATTCCGACAGTTCTAGTTTTCAACCTTCCGTTTCTATAGACGAAATTCCCATTCCTGATGATACGGGAGCGGAAATAGGAAAAAACAAGAAAACAGAAATTAATTTGACCGAAATAGCGTTACCAGAAAGTCAATCGGAAACGAATAAGAAATGCACTTCGGAAGATAGTGGAACCCCTAAGATTATACCTTCCGTAGTTAGGCATCCGCCTTTGCCACCTCTTCCAATTATCACGTCACCTGTACACTCGATGTCTACCAGTTTGATTATTAAACAATCTGCTCCTCTTCCATCGCAGCCTGTAACTGCTGTGGTTGCCAAGAAGCCGACGACGACGATAAATGAAATTAAAACGTTAGGAAGCAAGCACAAGAATATTACCAAACTACCCATGCCACCCGGTATAAATCAAACAGACCTAGAGGCTATTGAGTCACCTCCTAGTCGAAGTCCTAGTCCCAAACAAATTTTAAAAGTCAAAACACCACCAAGGAAAAGTATTAAAGATTTGCCGATGCCACCAGGTGATACATTTATTTATTTATTTATTTAGCAACTAAATAAAGTTATAAACTGGATATCATCCTTTTACAGAGAGAGATAATATAAAAAGAAATAAATAGTAAAGTTGTAACATGTATATTATTTTACTGTTTCTTATAGTGATTCCTGGTACTGAAGATCTTAGTGGAGACGAAGACGTTATAACGACATCTCCTAGAGTGAGCTCAAAGCCCCAAGAGAAGGCCAAACACGTCCCAAAGCCCAAATTAAAGAGGCCGAAAATACTTCGACGTAAAACGTCGAGGAATATTAATACTTCAAGGGATTGGGGTGAAAGATGTGTAGATGTGTTTGAAGTTATAACTCAAATAGGAGAAGGTAAAAATTCTCATTAAGAATAAATAAATCACGATTTCAAGAACAATTTTTATTTAGAATTTCACAATTGGTTCATTCTCAAAATTGATCATTTCTGTATTTATGAATTAACAAATGCGAACTTAATAAATAAACGTATTAAATTTTTGAAGGTACATATGGACAGGTGTATAAAGCGCGGGACATGCAAACCAGCGAAATGGTTGCTCTGAAGAAAGTTCGCTTAGAAAACGAAAAAGAGGGTTTTCCTATTACCGCTGTTAGAGAAATTAAAATTCTTAGACAATTAAACCATAAAAATATCGTAAATTTGAGAGAAATTGTGACTGATAAACAAGATGCAGTAGACTTTAGAAACGTAAGTGAATTTGTTACAATTATTTTATTAGCCAGTATACAGTTCACTTGTCACTTGTTCTTCAGGATAAGGGTTCTTTTTATTTGGTGTTCGAATATATGGACCATGATCTTATGGGCCTTCTTGAATCCGGTTTGGTAGATTTTAATGAACAAAACAACTCTAGTATAATGAGACAGCTGCTCGATGGTCTCAATTATTGCCATAAGAAAAACTTCCTTCATAGGGATATAAAGTGCAGCAATATTCTAATGAATAACAAGTAAGGGATGATTGATGATTGATTTCAAGTTGAATAAAATATGTTGCACGATTGCAGGGGCGAGGTAAAATTGGCAGATTTCGGTTTGGCACGTTTGTATAATGCCGAAGACAGACAAAGACCATATACAAACAAAGTGATTACTTTGTGGTATCGACCTCCAGAACTTTTACTGGGTGAAGAACGGTATGGACCTGCCATCGATGTGTGGAGTTGCGGTTGTATCTTGGGGGAATTGTTTCTTAAACGGCCCCTTTTTCAGGTATACGTTAAACATTAATTGCATTGTAGAAAGTGGAGACTATACTGATACTCTAATTACCGCAAAACTTGTTTCCGCAGTAAGTTTAACGTCTACAGTCAGCGTTCGATATGATAATGCCCACATTAGAAGTGAGCGAAGCGCGCGTTCACAATGAATACGTTTTGTGGTAATTAGGGCGAGTCTCTTTTTATTAATTACATTATTATTGTTCTGTATGTGTAATGTTTTTAATATATTTATAGGCAAACGCCGAAATGATGCAATTAGATATGATATCGAAACTGTGCGGTACCCCAACGCCCGCTGTCTGGCCATCCGTTATCAAATTGCCCTTGTTTCACACCCTCAAACCTAAGAAGTTACATCGCAGACGTATCCGTGAAGAATTTATGTTTATGCCATCCTCGGCGTTGGATCTATTGGATAAAATGCTTGAACTTGATCCTGATAAAAGGATTACTGCCGAAGATGCTTTAAGATCGAACTGGTTAAGAAACGTCAACCCCGAGGAGTAAATGTTAACAGTTTTATATTTTTTGTTTATTTTTAACAAATCAACGAATTACCTAATTGCAAGCCTAAGTCACTAGGATAATTGTATATGTTTGTTATGTATTTTAAGAGAGAGATGATATTAGGGAGATGTTTTACTTTCCCGTTTATACATACATTTAATCTTAAAATTTTATTCCTTTGTAGAATGTCTGCTCCAGAACTTCCCACTTGGCAAGATTGTCATGAGTTATGGAGTAAAAAACGAAGACGCCAACTTCGAGAACAACAGGAAGCAATGCAAAATCTACCACCTGGAAAACCGCCTGCGTCATTGCTGAAAGCTTTCATTTCGAAGCCTGACGAGAACAACACCGAAGTGGGAGGGTGAGTTTCGTGTTATTGAATCACTCGTGGCGTTATTTAAATTGTGAACAAAATTACGTGCTTTGACAAAAACATTATTTAATTAAGGATATGTGCATTTAGTATCTCACACACAAATAAAAGAAAAATAAATACTACCTGGGGAGAAAAGGGGCAGCACGGCATAACAATAATAATTATATGATGTGCAGTTTTTTGTAATTGATACGATAAGGTGCCTAATTTTAATGTTTCTTTCTGTTTTAAATTAATAAGAAGCTGTATGTGTACAGGGTGAAGCTCGTTTACATTGAAAAAAACGTTTATTATTAATTAATGTATTATTGTTTGTTTACTTCTTAATTATTTTCCAAACTGCTTTAGAACATTACTACAATTGTAATATAATTTTTAACCTCGTCTCTATTTCTATATTTTCCTTTAATTGAGAACTTAAAATTGATTACTGTTCTTATGCGAAACTAAAAGTTATTTGATTGTCTAAGGGCTACTGTTTCCTTTTCTATTTATTTTATTAGTCTTAATCACGCCGATCGCAAAGTATACATATATCGCAGGAAAATGTCACCGTGAGTGCGTATTTTTAAGTTGGATCTTTAAATACTGCTGTGCACCTACTATCTATATTTTCATGTAGTATGTAATAAGGTCCAGCTTTTTGACGATTATTCATAATTGTAGCCACTAAAAATTTAAATTGTATTGCACGAGGCACGCAGATGTAAGTTTTGTCGTTTAAAAATTGTGAATATTAAAAATTTTGCTTTTTCTGGCATGGTCGTAATCGTTTTTTCTTTTTTTTTGCGTGCGATCTCTTTTGTTAAAAAAAATCTGCTCCTTTGTAGAAATGTAGAAGTAAATGGAATGAATGTGTATTGTATATATTGTAGATAATGATATGATATATGATACAGTGGATTTCAATTATTGTTAATTATCGGCAGATTTACACGTTGAGTATAAATAATTGTGTAAATAATAGAGACTTCTAGATTAGAATATTTTTTGCTATATAATTGAGATAGTTTGTAAATAGGCGTTATTTTTATTTTAATTATTAATAAATGGGTAAAACACGGCTTTTTGTTTTATTTCTTTTTTTTTCTATTATTTTACGTCAATTCTGTTGGTTTGCAAATGCATGTAATGTATTTATTTTATTGTTTTTGTTGTGGATCTTATTTATATTTCATAGCTGTATTCGTGGTTTAAGAAATGTTTTAAACGTAAAAAGGGTAAGTTTGAATTGTCTGAAATTTCAGTTGAGTCAAATGAATAGTAGCGTCTATAAGATATTAAAAGTGATGAAAATCGTTATTGGTTGTTTTTTTTGTGTGATTGATCAGATAAGAAAAGGTGATTTGATCGTTTTGGCTTACAGTTCTTCGAAAAATTTGAAAATGGAAGCTTATGATGCAGCAGTTTTATCGTATGCGTTAGCAACGGCCACAGGAAAAATAAAAGGCGACCTGTTGGGAATTCAGGAAAAACTTCAAGGCACAGAAGAGTTTTCTCTTACCCCACCCACAAAGAAGGGTAATAATAACAATCAAACGGGATTTTTAGCGCAACTAAACGACATACAGAACGCAATCTTGAACAAAACTAACATACCTTTGTCCCAATTGCTAAATCTCTGTTTAGAAAAACAGGTAAATAAAAAGTAAATTTGCAACACATCAAGTAAATGTTTAATAACATGGTATATTACAGGATAATTCTGATTTAAATTGTCTACTGGATAGCCTTCAGAGTGAGCTAAGAAACGTTTATAAGGTAAACGTTGGAATTAGTAACGTTCTTAATTTAAACGAAGGTATGTACGTTTTTAAACTATTAAAAAAATCAAGTAATGCAAACGAATTTTATTTTAGACAACTTTAAATCGACGTTGAAGACGGAAGGAATTTGTACAGTGTTAGCAGAATTGCTTAGACTTTTCGGATTCATTGAAGCAAGAAACGAATTGTTAAATTTCAATTAATTTACTCTTTACAATTATTATTAGAATAGTTGTTCCTTAACACATGTATGTATGTATGTATGTACAAAATTTATTTGTCCTACAATATTGTCCTTGATTCATATATAAACAAGTACAACTTGTTCAATATAAATGGAACTTAGTAAGTACAGAACACCTTATTTGAAATAATTGTTCAAGTTCTTATATTAACAAACGAATATCCCTTTTTTATCAAGTAAAAAAAGATGATATCAATAAGAATAAATTGGTTTCACTCATTGTCTAAACAATAGATTGAATGGATCGCTGATATGAACAGATTTCTAGAAACCCAAAAATACCAATTGTTTTCAATTAATGTTTTTAAAAACATAATGCTTACATAATCTAAGACACACCTAGGTCACTGTTAGCCAGATAAAAATACTATTAAACGTAAGGCCCGTATTTACTATTATAGTCAAATGAATCTCAGGCAAAAGTATTCTAGCAAATTTCTACACATAATCCAGGCAGATGACGTTAAAATTTAATTTTGATCTTGCCTCCTTTTTTCTAAGTATCTATACATTTAATAAAATTATTTAAATGCTACATTTCCATCGAGTTCAATAATGGAATTATCTATATTTCATTTGTGTTCATTAGTTTTTCCCACATGTGACGTTTATAATATCACAAACGTTCCGAATTATGAATGAAATTTCGCCAGACATGTCATCAATAGAATCCTGTCAAACATCGAGTGCTCATAGGACGTAGGTAAGTATAGAGGTTGCCTGTAATTTTTTTAATCTTATCAGTTTGGGTTAATTAAGACTGTTAACTTGCAGTACGATAACATTTTCATTTGTAGCAGAATATTCCTTTTCATTCCTTTGCAATAAATGATCACTAGTGGTAGACTAGACACTTCCGTATTTAAACAATCATAGCAACGTTATTTTTTCAAGGACATCCTATGTGTAAATTTATGGTAGTGCAATTCACCATAGATAATCAATTCATAGTTGTCATCTATGGTCGAAATTTGTCTGTGGTAGTCAGTGGTCAATTTTGTGCTGTGAGCAGTAATTGCTAGTGTAATGATTAACTAATTCGCACTATTACTATTGTTTGGTTTTGTAAAAATGGCACGCATTAGTGGTGCTTTGCAATTAACGAATTTGAACGACTTTATAACACCTTCTCAGGTAATACTTAATTTATAGCTGTCTTCAGCAAATTTTATTAACGGGAATTATTTAAAAGGAATGCATAAAACCTATTATAATCGAGAAAAGTTGTACAAAAACTGGATCGAAAATCTCTATTCAAGAAGATGGCACATATTATCAAGTAGAAGATGTAGGTAAACTTTGTGCACAATATCTAATTATTGCATTTTTCATTATACTATTAACCTCGTAGTTGACCATTCCTCAAAAGCTTCAGAAGGTGGAGATTGCATTGTCAGATTGCTTAGCTTGCTCAGGATGCATTACATCTGCTGAAAGTGTATTGGTTGACCAACAAAATCAGGAGGAACTATCAAAAGTATTTAGGGAGAAAAAAATATTACAAAAGGAAGGAAGAGTATCGGAAACTCGGTTTATAATTGTATCACTATCTGTTCAGCCTGTGCTGTCTTTAGCTGTCAAGTATAATTTGGAACCAAATGATTGTGCAGCAAGACTGGCTGGATATTTTAAACATCTGGGAGCTGATATGGTAGTAGATATGACTATTGCAGAAGATTTAGCTCTTCTGGAAAGTCAAAAGGAATTTGTGGAAAGGTACTCATCAGCAGAAATTAGTGGAAGCAAAAATCTATTACCTATGTTGTCATCTAGCTGTCCAGGTATATTTTAAACTTTTTATTTGATAGATTATTGCTATTGACTATGTTGTTCGAATAGGTTGGGTCTGTTATGCAGAAAAGACTCATGGTAGTTTTATTTTACCCTACTTATCAAGTACAAAGTCTCCTCAACAAATAATGGGTTCAATAATAAAAAGGTTTGTGCAAAAACTTGTATCTTTGCCAATTTATCATGTAACTCTTATGCCATGCTATGATAAGAAACTTGAGGCTGTTAGAGAAGACTTTATTAATAAAGAAAACAAAATTAAAGATGTTGATTGTGTGATAACAGCAAGTAAGAATAACCTTCAATAATTGGGAGAAAACACATTTGACATCTTGTTATTTTAGTTGAGCTTGAACAAATGTTCTTGGATGGAAACATCTCTCTAAATGAAGTGCCACCATCAACTTTCAATCAGCCGTGGAATTCGGAGAATCAAGAAATAACTCCTTGTTTAAAGAGGCAGATGGGAAGTGGATCAGGAGGGTTTGCACATAATATATTTAAATTTGCTGCCGAGGTGCTTTTCCAAGTGGAGAATCCTCTAATAGAGTTCAAATGTTTAAGGTAAATTGATCATAAATAAATACGTATATAGTTTATTTTCAGCAACAAATAATAGTAAACATTTCCTTCTTACAGAAATCCTGACTTCAAAGAGCTCACTCTGCTAGATAAGAATGACAAGGTGGCATTAAAATTTGCTATCGTTAATGGTTTTACAAATATTCAAAATTTGGTCCGGAAATTAAAGCGAGGTAAAAGTGACTACCATTATGTGGAAGTAATGGCTTGTCCATCGGGTTGTTTGAACGGTGGGGCCATGGTACATCCTCAAAACAGAACTGTGAAAGATTTGACAACCGTTCTGGAAGATTTGTATACAAATTTGCCCATTCAAAATCAAAACGAAAGTAAAACCGTCAAAAGCTTGTACCAGCAGTGGTTCAAAGGCGAAGAAGGAGACATTACAAAAAATATACTTCATACTGGATATCATGAAATCGAAAAAGTTAATGTCTCATTAAATATTAAGTGGTAAACTATCTTGTGTTGATTGTATCATCTAATAGTTGTGCTTTTATATTCATGTGTATGAAAAACGAGCAATAATCATATGAGCATAAATAAAAACTCCGTAAAAATAATAAGAGTTCAACAATTTTGTCCATGTATGTATTTATTTATATATTGGTAGATAAGAGAAAGGAAAAAGTAGTGTCGATGGATAGTTATGTACTCAATTCATAATTACTTAGGTGATATATAATGCTTTCCAGAAATAATTCAAATCTAGGATTGCACTTTATTATATTTCTTTGCCGGCTGTGTACACTATTTGTAGATAATTTTGATTAAACCATCTTTAATATAAAATTTTGAATAATTTTATTAAATGTGCAGGTCCTTGAAAGAAATAGAGACACGAATATCAAAATTAAATTTTAAGATCATTTCTGCCTGCGTTATGTATAAGAATTTGCTATAATACTTTTATGTCAGACTTATTTCACTTATGGATAAATAACTTGATGCATAAATAACAGTTAAACTATTTAGTAATAATTAAGTAGTAATTAAGGATAATATGGACAGAAGTAGTCGGTGAGCATTTTGCNAAATGTTATATTATAAAATAACATGAGGGACATTGAGGCAGCTCCACGCAAGGACAAAATGGACAGAAGCAACTGGTGAGCATTTTCCAACCCTCATTCTTAAAATCCCGCTATTACTTTTATTTGAACTAGTTCTTCCCGCTTATCGGTCACGGTAAGCTCGAAACTGTTAGCGCCATTGCTTCCAGTGGTCGAAATTCACTTTTGTGAACAATTTGTTTAATGATTTTCCTAGTGTTAGAAATTGTTTAAAAAATTAAATTCAAAGGAATTTGTTTATAAATGGTAGGCAACACATCGTACATTGCAGCATAGGCAATTGCATATCCAAACTACGTAAAATGTATAACAATTTTGAAAGTTAATTTCNTTGTTTATAAAATGATAGGCAACACATCGTACATTGCAGCATAGGCAATTGCATATCCAAACTACGTAAAATGTATAACAATTTTGAAAGTTAATTTCTCTTTCTCTATAGGGCCTAAGGTTGTTAAAATCATATCATGAGCGTAGGAGGAGCCACACGCAAGGACAACATGGACAGAAGTAGCCGGTGAGCATTTTGCACCACTACTTTTTAAGGTCTTCTTGTTTTTACATTTATTTTAATTATGCAAGATTGAAAGCTTAGTTTCTCCTTTACTATAGGGTCTAAGACTGTCATAATCTCATGAGGGATGCAGAAAGAGTCCTACGTGAGGACAATACGGCCAGAAATAATCGGAGAGCATTTTGAACCCGTTATTTTTAAAATCTTCTTGTTTTTACTTTTATTTTAATTAAACAATATTGAAAGCTTAGTTTCTCCCTTACTATAGGGTCTAAGACTGTCATAATCTCATGAGGGATGTAGAAAGAG